TGTGTGTGTGTGTGTGTGTGTGTGTGTTTTTTTGCGGCTCAGTACCTGTCTCCGGGGTTGGTTTGGGAAGAACGAACAGGACACCGAAGCCGTCCATTCGGAGACACCCATTTGACAACCGATTGGGATGAGAGATCCCAGATACACCCCACTGGGCGGAACTGACCACAATTAGCGGGCTGGTGGACTTTGACAAGCCATGCTTTAAGGGGCAGGGCACGTAGTAGTTGGTAAGCCTGGTTATAACCCACTTAGGAACCCCTTGTTAACAGAGTTGGCTTCCATTTGCTTATGAATACTTTTTCATTTTCCCTTGTTGGTTTAAAGGGAATCTATCACTACTGGACAATTTTTTCCCGGGGGCTGAACAATTCGCAAATGGAAGTTGGGGTTCTGCGCTCGCCGCGCTGCCGCGCTCGGCCAGGAGTCCTTTGACAAAGAGAGTCTGGTGGGCAAGAAGCTCTCGGCACTTTGACAGAACTTGGCTCCCAGCATCCCTTTAGCTTTTTAGCCTTTTATTTAGTGGTAGTTTCCATTCAACGTGTCACAAGAGCACTTTGACAGAAGACCGTTGACAGAAGACCGCCTTGAGCTTGGAGCTTTGTGTCTCTTGTCGCTGAGAAGCTCCGATCGGCTTCGGCTTTCAATGGAAGACCCGACCCCGAAGCATTAGACACCCTGGGAATTGGTGGTTGGTTCAAGGCTAGGTCGTGTCTACTAGGTTTTAGTGGTTGGATTGGGATGTTCACTGGGGGTACGATTTGGATTTTGACGCATGGCCAAATCTCAGTCCCTGAGTTCCTGGACCTTTTTGGGCATGGAATTTGAGGGAACTCAGCTAGGTCCCCAGCAATTGGTGCTCTTTTGTTTACCCCCTTTTTGGGTTGGGAGATTCGGTTCCCCCACCTAAAATAGGCTACAGAAAACAAGTTGGTACCCTTAGTCTAACCTCGCAAATCTGGAGGACCTAGTCTATTTTCGCTGGGTAAGCTGAACCCCAAACTGGTTGCAATCCCTTTCAACGCTTGTTTGAAAGGTAGGCGTGCGTCCCCTTTGAAACCGACTACCACTTCCATTTGCATAAATTAGTATGTTTTAATTTTCCCTTTGTGGTTTTAAAGGGAATCAGTTTTACTACTGGAAATAGAAACTCATTTTTTGCCAGGGGGCTCCAGCAAATGGAAGTGCTGAGTCGATTTTCGCTTCGGGGGCGGTTGTGAGGGTCTTTGTGGGTGGGCTCTTTGTGGGTGGGCTCTTTGTGGGTGGGCTCTTTGTGGGTGGCTCTTTGTGTGTGTGTGTTGTTTCTCGTATTATTATTATTATTATTACTATTACTATTACTATTATTATTACTATTACTATTATTATATTTTGTTCCCCCCCCCCCCCCCGAGAGTGAACCCGACCCCTCTAGGGAGCAGTTTGAGAGGTTCGAGACTTGCGCATCATCACTCGAGAAACTTTGAGTTCGGGCCGGCCTTTGGCGGCCGATGAAACGGCTTGAAGCGTCTTCCGATTTTCTTCCATTGGCTGAAGCAAATGGGTGTGGGTCAAAATTTTAGACCACCAGGGGACCGCCTGTTTTAGTCATGGGTTCCATTTGGGGTACCCATTTTTGACCCAAAGTTAAATGTTGCTGTCCCAGCCATCCGGTTCCTTAGCCTTTTGGCTTTTTAGTGTTTAGTGGTAGTTTCCATTTATCCTACTAAGAGTTAAACTTGTAGCGGGGGATCTGACAGCCCAGACATGTATTTGCGATTTTCCCCCCTGTTGGTTTTGCGGGGAATCGACTTCACGACTGGAGAAAATGTTAGATACCTTGTTCCAGGGGATGAAGAAAACAGCTGCAACTGGAGGGGTCCAGATGGAATAGGGGAGAACATGACGCAGTCGGGCCAAGGGGAACCAATTCAGATGACACTCGTGAAGGACAAAAGGATAATAATGTGCACAATTATTTAGATAACTATTGGCTTGACTGCCATTGGGTTGAATCTTTAGACTATAACTTGTTTGGCAATCATTGGGTTTTCTACTAGTTTATCGCACTTGGGGCATTGCCGTCTAATTTAATGTGGCGCACGCGTTCGTGGTTCGTGGTATTATACCACCGGCCACGTTACGAACCATAGTCATGCGGGGCACAACAAGTTATTTTTTTTTGCAGAGGGGTCGTTGCAGCAACCAAGTTAGTATCCCTTATACTATCCCTCAAACAAAAGCAAACAAACGCACTCGGAGGCTGTTTTTTTTTTAGCCCCGCTCGAGGCCAAGATGACGCAGTGGACCATCATCCTGGTGCTCCCCCGTGGCCATTGGGGCTAAACCCACCCAGGTGGCGAGCCACTTCTTTCAACGCTTTTTGGAAGGGTTGAACCCCTTTACCTGGTGGCTCCCAGCCATCCGGTTCCTTAGCTTTTTAGCTTTTTAGTGTTTAGTGGTAGTTTCCATTTAGCCATCTGAGGGCAGCCCAGTAAAATCGACTGGACAAGTGCTTTGATTTTTTGGAGGGGGAGCGGGGAGGGCGGGGAGCCCGTTTAAAAGCTACCAACCAGAACGTGTGTCCTGTGTTTTCAAATGGCCACAGGGGGATGGGATTTTTGACCCGTAGGGGGAAATTGGGGAATGGGGGTGTTTCTCAATTAAAAGTCATGGGTGTCCTTTGGGCTTCCCTTTAGATGCAAACCGGGTCTTCTGAAGTTGTTGGCGCCAGGTTGTCAGACTAAAGTTGGTACTGTGGATGGTGACACGGAATCCATAAACCCCACCACGAAATGAAACCATGGTTGAAACCATAACGTTTGATGGGATTTAAAGCGGAATCATCAGCAACCAGGGTTTCTTAGGTGGTGCAGGATTTCGAAACCATCCACAGTAGACAAAGAGTTTGGAGTTGTCTTTTCGGGCCATCAACTCGGGAAGCGTGGAAAGTGTTTGCAGGGTTCTTCAAAACTACATGCAGTCAGGATCACAGGAGCACAATGAACCACACCAAACCGGAGGTCTCCTCCAAATTCATCTTGTATTGTAGGGTAGGCTCAACATGAAGCAGAATCTAACATACTATTTGTCGTGTATCCCAGAGGGCCAAGAAATAGGATGCGTGTGGAACAGGTGGAATCCAACCACAAGGCGTTGTCTCTCTAGGCTTTACTGCTCTTGGTAGGGTTTTCAGACTTTTTGGTTCTGGTCATTTTCAGTAAGCGGCCAAGAGAGGAATTTTGCTCAAAGGCCAAGGATTGAAAAGTAGGGCACTGAAAACAGGGGGTTGGAACAGGCGGACTCCGCAGAAGCTCGCATTCCAGAATTTGGTATGGGCCCAACAAGTTGACGACTCTTTGGATGTGTCTCTTGTCGAGGATACCTTTTCTGGGTTGGTTTAAAGAGAAACCAACCGCAAACGTATGCCGTTTTGGGGGTTCCGATTCCTATTATGACGCAAGTGTTCCATTGTTTTGCAGGTGCAAGCGAGCGACAGCCAGCAAAGGGCAACTCGTACTCGCCAAGTGTTCTTGACTTTTCCTTTTTGAAGAGTTCGGTCCCTAGTCTTTTTACGGGGAGCCCCTCAAAAAACCGTTTCTTTTTGGGAAGGTGTTAAACATTCCCGTTTTTGGGCCACAGAAGGTGAGTATCAGGGCGCCCAGTGTCGCCAGTTTCTGTGCGCGTGGGTTTGTGCGACTTGACCGTAGGGCAGTGAGTTTATTAAAAAACAAAAAACATCGCTTATTTTTAAAAGAAGATAGGGCTTTTTTGCTTGACTTATACTATATATTTGATGCGTTTTACTTCTGATTGAGTTGAATGCTATTGTATCGCATTTGTTGTCACCAAAGGGATTTGGGCCTTTCTTTGAGGGTACCCTTTTTGGGGTTGGTTAGCTTCATGTTGTTGGATCATGTTTTGAGGTTCTTGTTTTCTTGGTTCTGATCACTTTTAGTGGGGGGGGGGGGGGCTGCAAAGAACACCGTTGTTCGCTTCCACACCAATGGTTGCGCCATTTTGGGGGTCCCAAAAAAAAGCGCCGCCTATTCCTCGGCCATTTGCTTTGGCTCAAGTGAGAGAAGATCCCAAGTCGGATCTGGGAGGATCACAGATGTTGGATAAAAGGTCCAGCAACGAGGCCGGTGGGTCCTGGGCGAGGGGGGGAAATGGCGATTTATTGCGCCCTCCATTCGGAACACCATACTCCCTGGCGGGGATTCATTCAGGGGTCCCTGCATTTCCCTTCAAAAGGGACCTCCAAAAGGGGCACATTTCTAGGGGTTGATCTCATTCTTTTCAGCCATCCTTCTTTTCAAAAACCGATCGCCATTTCCAACCAGGGCTTTTGGTGGTTGTCTAGAAAGATTCGGATCCCTGGAAAGAATGGACATGAAAGTTACCCCTAGAAAATTGGTTGGAGCCCACCAGTTTTCCTGCAAGTGTTGAAGGGGAAATCCAGTGACCCCTGTCATCATGAGGGATTCCTGAGATTCCGCAGAGTTTGGCTCCCAAAACAAGTGGCTGTGGGTCAAAGCCACTGGTACCATTTTGGGGTAGGTGCACCACCCATTTTTGTCTATTTTAGTGGGGATTGGGATGTTCACTGGGGGCGCGGGATTTTGACCCATGGACAAATCTGTCACTCGCAATCTGCGATCATTTTTTGTTTTGTACTCGTAAAACTTGGATGTCAAGGAGCCTTGCAGGGCTTCAAGAAACTTCCATTTGCTTAATAATATATTCTGTTTTTATTCTCATTATTCCCTAGTTGGTTTTAAGGAGAATCCAACACCTCTGGATGTTTTTCCAGGGACAGCAGCAAATGCAGCGAATTGTTGGCGTTCCTGCCGGTATCGCGGCAAAATGGTACGATTCTCGCTTGTGTGGGGTATGATGTCAACCCCTCACCAAACAAAGTCACAAAGCACCAGGTTCTACAATAGAAACCTTGGAGAGTTGCCAAGGTTCCCCCCGCCAAAAGAAAAAGGAAGCAATCCCAATAGGGCCTGGCCTAACAGGACCCTTATTCGGCCAAGTTAATAGGGTCGGTTATAGAATCCTTTTGCCGGGTTGCTACAATTCTTTGACAAACCCAATGGATCCCAAGCAAGCTAGAATAGGTGTGAATAGGTGACCCGCCATTTTCCTTTTGGTTTTTGAGAGCAAGCCTTTGGCTTGAATGCTATTGGGTTGGATCTTTAGACTTGAACTTCTTGGTTGAAATCAAGGGGTTTTCCACTAAACCACCAACAAGTTAAACTTTTTGCAGGGGGGGTCGTTGCAGCAACCAAGTTGGTTACCCACGAAATAAGGATGGATCCACTCGCAAACATAGGATCAAAAGGCCTAAACCTGATGGCTGGAGCGAAAAGGCGCGCCAGTGCCAGCGCCAATTGCAGTTGAGCTCACCCGCTGTTCTTGGGAGCCACCGTCTGAGAGCCCGAGTTTCTGAGGATTCCCCAACGCAAATGCCAACAAATGCTATGGTTGCAACCATAGATTCATTTCGTGGTGCGAACAGATTTCGTCCATCCACAGTATGTCCGGTCGAGTTAATTGGGGATTTGTATAGATCACAGGGTGTCTCACCTCCAAGCTGGTGACCTTTTTATTTGCACCAGCCAAGAGAGTCATCGAAGGGTGGCTACCTTGATGAGTCTATACCCTCATACACAACATCGTTTTGGTTGGGAAATCCCTGGCATCTGACTTCCTGGTCGCCATTTCTACAGCAAAACGGGTTTGATTTTGGCGCTATTTACGTGGAATTCAATTAGCTGTCTTCCCCCTGTAGGCTCTTTTTCAGAAAGCGTTTAGTACGCTTTGTACATATTCTGCAGGTTGGTGGTTCCACAGATTCGCCACATCCAAACCGTTTTCTAGAGAGAGGTTCGTGGCAATGCAACCTTTGATCCAGTTCTCGACCTCACGTGCTGAGGAGACCAGTTTATCTACCGTAGTTTACCATGTTTTGTTTTCTGTGCGTTGGTTTACTTGCAATTTGTTTAAGGAGCGCCTGTTTTCTTTTTTTTTGGGGGGGGGGGGTGCGTTCTATGGGGGGGGGGAACCGGTCACTGGAACAGAACCCCCCTAAAGATGCTTGGCACTTGGAAGCACTCGCTTCGCGGTCTAACTTTTCGTTCAATTCAATTGTTGCCTAGTTGAGGGCAAGAAGATGAGGTGTCACACTCATCAAAAATGGTACTCTTTTTCGGGGATGCATCCGTCTTTGAGGATTCTTCGATTCGCATGGTTCTAAGTTGATCTATTCCCAAGTTGATAATTGTTGCACGTGATTTGTTTCAATTGGTTGTAAGTTGGTGGCCCGGTTAAGCCGAACTCCCTCATCCTGGGAGATTGGCCTTCAATAGCATGGAACCTAACTGGGGGTCCTGGATGACCATTTTCCTGTGCACAAGAGGGTAACCCAGAATTTCCTGAGTTCCTTCGCGGTAAAGGAATGGTTGGCTCAATTTAGATGACAATCCTTAGGTAAACGTTCTGGTGGTTATATTAAGCCCTCAGTTGTTCAGTGGCTCCAATTCTTTTTCCAACTTTTTTTTGGTGGCTGCCCCACTAAAATGGTCCAAGCCCCAAAAAGGGTTCCCATTTTTTTCCAGGGTCACTGAACAACTGAAACTGCCATTGCTTTAGTGGTCTGGAACCCCAGGGGGCAATGTTTGTTTCTTTAGCCAAGAGGGCCAATCCCGCTCCCCTCTCCTCCGCAGACCCATTTGGGCAAATTCAAGGATGTCCCTTGGACCCAATTTTACTCGTTTCGGGGTCTCAAATTTGACACAGACCCAAACGTCCCTTCAAAAGGCGTGATTGTAACCCAAAACTCTGGGGCGACATTTTCTTGTTGTTTCAAGGGGTAGTTTGAAGGGTCCAGGGTCCAAGCAGATTCCAGTGAAGTCCATGTTTGGCTTCCCGGTTTATGGCTCAATTCCTTGCATGTTTGTCCAAGTTAGAAAGTCGTTCGCCAAATTTGGGTATAACCCCCTTATAACAAGGGTAACCCCACTTTGAGGGACTCATCTTGACTGCTTTTGGGTTGGATCTTTAGACACTTAACTTTTTGGTTGCAATAAATAGGTGTTTTCCACTAAACCCCCGAACAGTTGAACACTTTTTGCAGGGTCGTTGCAGCAACCGAGTCATTGTACATATATCCCAGGCGACCAACAACTGGCTGACTCGGCCGAGCGCCCAAGTACCTTGCCAGGTCTAGCGTCGAACCCTTCGACGCACCGCGAAGAAGCGGGAGATCCAGTTCTCGCGCGCTCTGAAGGGCCCAGCCCCCGTGCACGAGCCGCACCTTGGATGCTATTTAGGGGGGCATGTTGAGGTGGGGGTCGATAAGCTCAGGTGGGTTGATCTATAGGGAAACCAAAGGTTGGATGTTGAGGGTTCTTTTCGGAACCTTCCATATGCTGAAATTAATATTTTGTATTTTCCGCTGTTGGTTTTAAAGGGATTCGATGTGGCTACTGGGTATTTCTCAAAATGGGGCCCTCTAAATTGTTTGGTTTCCAGCTTAGCGAGCACTCAGGTAACTTTGAGACTCTGCGCAATATGCAGCGATGAAAACCCAGGGGTTTGTGCTTTTGCCCATCAATGATGGCGGCTTCTTTCATAGGGAGACAGAACCAAGTTCTCAGGGGGAAGGCTCTCAAGCCAATGTTCACTCTGGCTGAATCAAGCGAATAAAATCTTCAGGTGTCCGGAACCCCAAAACAAATCCGGAACCCCAAGCTGCGACTCTGTTTATAGAAGAAGTTCGCCTGCTTGGGTGTCGTACGTTCCATCGGTTTCCAATAAATCCAGACGTGGGGAATCCCAAGACTTCGGGTGGTTTTGGAGGCTGACCACCTGGGAGCTTTATACGGGTGTGGGTCAAAATTAAACCACCAGGGGGCCCCAGGTGTTGGTCCATGTTGCCACTTACCAGGGTTCCATTTGGGGTTACCCTATTTTTGACCCACAGCCATGCAAACAAAGATGGGTTGCGGGCTGTGGGTTCCATCTTTAGATGGCCCAGCCTAGTGGCTTTGCTGCCTTTTTCCAACTTTTCTTGGGGGAAGGGTTCCGATTCCTTTAAACTCCACCAACCAAGAGAGGATGCAATTTTTCCCCTGGCTGGGCATCTGAGGCGGGCGATTCTCTAAATTCCGCAAGTAGACAACAAGGACAGCCCCTCTTTTTTTTTTGGGTGGGCTACTTGCAATACGAAGAGCATCCATCACCGGCAAAGAAACATGCAACCTGAACAGACGGAGGCTCCTTTGGGAACAGGCTCTTCCAAGCTACCCCAGGTTCTATATCTTGGTTTTTGGGAGGTCAACACCGCACAGGCTGGTACCTCCCTTTTTTGACTTTCTCAAGAGGCATAGAGTGACTCTTGGCGGCCAAGAAGGACGAAAAATCGAACCTTTAGGGTCATGACCTTTCCATGACTTCCCTGAGATGGCTCCAAGTTAGTAAGTTGGAACGGCAACCCTTAGTGCCCCTTGGGGCGTCAGCCCTGTTCGTGGTTTAGATGCCTCGAATCGGCTGGTTTTCGAATCGATGGTCCCTTCAAGAAGCAAGAAGTGCACTCTGCGTCGGATCCGTCTGTCCTACGGGCGGGTTGCCCGTTTTCAGCCTGGGCTTCTTGAAGAATTGGTCATCCCAATTTACCCACATCCGGGCATGATGCCATCAACGCCCCTACAAATGAGAACAAACAAATAAATTCCCCTACACATGGATTTGTTGTTGGTTCCACGTCAATCCGCGGAACAGTTTGGTCACCCCGGATGTCCTTACAGCCCAGTTTCCCTATGGTTGGACTGGGGTCACGTTTCCCATTCCGCTTTGGAACATGTTTCTCTGAACCCACCAAGCCTCAGTTGTTCAGTGGCTCCAATTCTTTTTCCGACTTTTTTTGGTGGCTGCCCCACTAAAATGGTCCAAGCCCAAAAAAGGGTTCCCATTTTTTTTCCAGGGTCCAGCAAGCGGCAACTTGTGCTTCCGGGAGATCCAGTGACCCCTGTGAATCAACTTCCCTGGAACTGGCGGTTTGGAGCTCGGTTTGGCGGTCTCGCGAGGTGAACCCCATGTACCTACACTAGGTCCAGTGGTGCCCTTGCCCTCCCCTTTTTTTCGGCTGGAAGAATTCCCCGACCAAAATAATTAGACTACCAAAAGAAAGCTTGGCCGCAACTTTTTCTCTCCGCTGCGCTCTACTGGAGGACCTCTAGTTACAAGAACCAGAAACAAAAACAAAAAACAACCTTCAACTCTCGGATGCGGCTCCAAAGCTCCGATCTCCCGGTCCCGGTCCAAACCGATCCCGGGGACCGGAGGCGGGAATGCTGCTGGACGCGCTCTTCAGTGCGCTGTGGTCGCCTCCCAGGCAGTCGGGGCTCGGGGGCCCAAGCTTTGGAGGGGCAAGCCAAAGCCCTCGAGGCTCCCGCCCGAAAGTTCGCGCGCGTTTTTTTTCTTTTTTTTCTTCTTTAAATTAATATATATATATATATAATGTTTTGTTGAAAGACGCACTCCCGGAGGTCACGTTTTGATGTTTTGTTTAAAGACGAACCTCAACGCGGTCATTCCATGAATTTCGGTGGGTCTCTTTGGTTGGGATTCCTGGGTTCCCCGCGTTTCTCCCGTTTTCTGAAAGAGTGCTTTGTTCTTCTTCTGTGTTTCGACCTCGTAAAGCTACGTGTTGTTTGCCAATCTACTTATGAGTTGTTGCAAGGGTGGGGATTTTTCCGTCACGCACACCGCGTCCTTTCTTTCCTCAGTTGTTCAGTTGCTCCCTTTTTCTTTTTCCAACTTTTTTTGGGGTGGCTGCCCCACTACAATGGTCCAAGCCCAAAAAAGGTTTCCCATCCTTTTTTTTCCAGGGTCACTGAACAACTGAGTCTATGTTCCTCTGGTTTAAAGGGACTCCATCACTCACACCGCGTCCGATCTCTTTCAATACCTTACGGGTTTCATTCAAAGGGTTCAGTTTCCCATGTCCCTGTGGAAGCTCTGAAAGTGGAACATTTTAGATGAATCGTTTCAATGGGAGCCACCATCAAATTTATCACTTGCCCAAAGCGAATCGACCTTTTGACAACTTTTGGTTTTCCAATTTTGGGTTCCCATTTTTAGTACAGGTCCCAAAAGGTGATCACCTTGTATTTCCAGGTCTTTTGGGCAAGTGAGAAATTGATCAACTTTGGAAGGTGAAATTCAGTGACCCCTTATTGATTCTGCGTTTCAGACCTGACCTGACTCTCCAGAGCCTCAAAATTGGTTTGCCCTCCAAAAGATGGGGGTTTTCTGTGTATGGTTTGTTTGCCTTCCGATGGAGCCTGTGATGCAACTGTAGGATTCTCCTCCTACAGACCCATATAGACCCGCATGTGCCATGGCAAGAAGTACCGGTTTCTCTGTTTGGGGTTAACAGGGATGGTCATCCACCTGGTTGTAAGGATCCTTAACAACCATTATTGTGATTCCTATTGACCCAGATTTCGACTCTTCAACCGCTAATCGAGCTGCTGTGAACATGATTTGACCCAACCAAACGCGCTCGGATGTGGCCATGAATTTTAACAGGGAATCACCTTAAAAGTGATTGGTGGACATGAATTCCCACTTAAATGATGTCCACCAAAGGGCCCCTTATTCAAATTGATAGCCATATTATAGTGATTCCTATTGCGGGAACCATGGCCCAGTCGGCCAAAGAAACGGAGCTTTGACCACGCGAATTCAAGGCTTTGCAGGGCCTCCACCGCGTAAAAGCCACCGCCGGTGTAGTCATACGCATGGTCGCCGAAATCCATTTCGCACCGCTGGTATTTGCTGGAAAATCATGATTTCAGGGTTGCTTAGGTGGTTGATGTGTGACTTGCACGAACTATTCTCTGCCACTCCCTGTGGATTGTGCCCAGGGTGTGACTTGTGGTGACAGGCGCACAACGTCTTTGCAAGTGGCACTTTGATACATGCCAGCATTTACACAGATATCGTGTCGGCCCATTGCACGCAAACGAGGGACTGCGAAACACTGGAGCAGCAAAAGACGCGCAGATATGCTCAGCCCCCTCCGCATGATCTACCTTTTCTGCGCCATCTGCACTAACCTGTACTATCTGCATATATATATATATATGTATACAATAGACCCATAAAAGCGCAGAAACCCTGACACAGCTCTCTCTCTCTATATGTATATATGATTTTGGAACAGTCTCATAGAAGGCGCAGAAACCCGATTCATCCCTGAATTCCCCTGGAACCCCTTCCATCAGAGAAAAATCCCCACTCCGTCGAGCGGGACTTTCCCAAGCTGAGGCTGTGCTGCTCACCCGACACCCGTGGCCCCGGGGCCCAGTGGGCTCGTGGTTGATGTGTCCTTTCTCCAGATGCCCATCTTGGTTTGGTTTCCATTTGCTCAAGATAGTTGTTGCTGTTTGCTCTTTCCTAGTCGTGTTTTCATTATGTTCTTCAAATGTTTTGTTTATTTGGTGTTCATTTGCTTAAGTTTTGGGTAAAACAGACATCCTCCGTTGGTTTTAAGGGGAATCGGTTTCACGACTCGGCATATTTGCTCATCTTTTCCAGGGCACGAAAAACGCAAATGGAGGTTTGCTATGCTTGATGTGCGTGTTTCGTTGCTATGCTCGAGTCTTGGCCGTGTCTTGCTTGTCCCTTGTGTTCCTTGTTTTGGCGCGGAACTTGTAGTGCGAAACAAGTTACCGCAATCGGTTTCCGGGCCGGGGTAACCCCGTTCTTAGGGTTTTCTTTGTTTTGTGATGTTCTGTTGGTTTTTTGTTCAGTAGTTGTTGGTGTTTTGGGAGTTGTTTTAGCTTAAGGTGTTTATGGGGGTAAACCTTTGTAGAGCTTGCTTCACCTGCGAAGCGGACATTTGTTTCCACCAAGCAGGTTCTGAAGGCTGACTCTAGATTCTCGTCGCCTGTTGGTTTGAGAAGCACCTCAGTTGTTCAGTGGCTCCCTTGTTCTTTTTCCAACTGTTGTTTTGGTGGCCCCACCAAAATGGTCCAAGCCCCAAAAAAGGGTTCCAATCCTTTTTTTCCAGGGTCACTGAGCAACTGAGGCACGCAGCAAGCCCGTTTTCCTTTTTTCCCTCCTTTGTTTTGGTCAAGGCATCCCCGAAAGTAAGAGGGGGAAAGTCGGAAGTCACCGGAAAGGTGTGGGTGGTGCTGAACAAAGTTGGGCTGATACGCCACCAAAGCAAGTGGTACAGGGGATTCCGTCTATCCACGTGTTTTTTTGGTTTGTTTGTGAAACTGTCCCATAGGTTCGGGGGTCTCCCCAAGACTACTATTTACTTATTTTTGTTTGGGTGGACTTTTTTCGGATGTGGAAGATAAGGCCTTGTCAATTCAATATGTTTCAACCCCCCTGCATGGTCCCCTTGGATGTCCATCATCACAATCTAGAGGATCGCCGAGAGCTATACAACTTTGAAGAGTGTCATTGGTGACATGTTTATGTTTGCCGTGCTTTCCTGTGAGCGATTCGCCTGCCACGAAAAATGTTTCGTAGATTTCCGAGGCCAAACACGCAAGAAACTCCAGGTAACCCCTTAATTTGGTTGGGATTGGTTTGGATTGGGATTTGAACCCTTTTTTGAATAGAGCTAGGGGAAATAAGGTACGTGACGTTTGCAATCGTTTGCAGCAGGTGCAATTGCTCTGACGAAGTGTTGAAACCCACAAAATGGGGAAGATGTTGCCGAGTTCCTAGAAAGCCCGTCTGTCACGTTTCAGGAAAAAGTGCAGGCCTGATTATGTTACGATGCAGTAATTGGTGGCCAGCAATGTCAACCCCGGATTAATAAACCCCTGGTTGATTTTGATCGGGGGTGTCCCCTTTAGTGGGGATTCAGACCACTTTTGGAGGGAACACTTCCGCTATTTTAATGGGACGGGTTTATTGATCCTGGGTCAACATTACCTGAAGTTCCCCCCTCAATCCGATGTTTGATGTGTGTTGAACCTGGCCTTCCAATCCAAACCCAAACCCGAACCACCAGTCCAAACCCATCAGCCGGTATGAAAAAATATGTTTGTACCTTCCATTTTCATTCTTTCCAGGGATCCTTCTTTCTAGAAAACCTCCGCTTTTTCCCAGGGAAAACGGATCCGGTGTTTGGTATTGGAACGATGGTTGAAAAGAATGAACCATCCAACCCTGTGTTCAACGATTCTTTTGAACATCGTTGGAATCAAGATGGTTGGAACCCTCCAAAGCGGTTGGAATCAAGATGGTTGAAAGGAATGACCCAGATTCTAAAAAGAACGATGGTCGGAATCAACCCCTAGAACCCTGGGTGATGCTCTGCACACGCCAGGGCCAGATGTGCTCCTCACCCGCCCGGACCGTACGGAGCGCACTGAAAACCACGAGCACAGAGAACGCACGGAGGAGCGGGGAAAGGGCGGGTGCCTACTTCAAACACGCGGCAGGTTGTTCATCTAAGTCCCCCAGTAGTACGAGGGTTCCCCTACTAAAATAGACCACAGAAAAAAGGGTACCCTTATTCTAAGCAGGACCTAGTCATAGTTCAGGTTTTTCATATGTACGAAGTTCAATTTTTCCATGGTTTAGTTATATTTCGATGAGTTAGGTTTGCGATAGTTCACACCTCCATTCTTAGTCAGGTCGACAAATCACATCCTAGTACCCTCCCTTCCACTAACATAGCACGGCACACTCTGAACAAAAGTGGCTATTGGCTGCAAGGTGTGTGCATGTCACGTTCTTTGCAGTGCTCCGAACCTAAAGACCAACATGTTGCCACACCCAAAATGGTAGTTTCCTGCAAAAGAATATGGGTTGCCCAACAAGGGGCTCCGATTCGGATTGCATGTTAATTTGTAGGAGAGCCGTTTCTTGGAATTGTCCTTTCAACCCTCCCTGAAGCACCTGCTTTAAATGCATACAGAGACAACTCACGAGATTTGGACATGTCTTTTGTTGAAGGGCACCCCGTGTTTGTGGTTTCAAAGGAACACCAAAAGTAAAAAAGCCATCTTGGGCGTCCCCGAAAAAATGACGCCTATTTTCAGATCGGCGACAGAAGCTACAGAACCGCTGCCTTAACGAGGACTTTGAACCAGGGTTGTGGGATCAAGGGGTTTATCCCCACTTCTGTGATACAAGGGAATCCCCGTTTCTATGATCAAATTAGTCTTTGGGAAGCCCTTTCTATTGTGTCACAGAAGTGGTCATTCCCCACAGCCCTGCCTTTGAACACTTGGGATCAGATGGCCGGACTGCTGAAAACAAGACGCACTCCGTGGTCAAGTGTACTTGCAGCCTCGTGAGGTTCGTTTGACCGGACGCGCGAACTGCAGCTTTGGACATTGACCTATGGGAGTTTTGGCCATTCTCACATTGACAGCTCTAAACAAGATTTGCCCAATCCAATTTGTTTGATCTTCACTGCTGTTGGCAAGTTGTGGCTTTTTGTTTGTCCTGCTCATTTTCAATGCTCAGTAGGGGGCTGCAAAAAGGGCAGTTTTTTGCTACCATACCAAGGGTTGTAAAGTGGTGTCGTCGCATCAGAGCTGAGTGTTTCTCAAGGTGCTGATTGACAAAAAATCCATTTAAAGTACCTAAGAGGGATTACGTACCTAAAATCCATTTAAATTCATTCAACGTACCTAACAGGGATCGGTGGTTCCGGCATTCAAATCGGGCTTCACGCATCTCAACTTGGAATTGCGCCGCTGGATGTGTGTGGATTTTGCCCGGCAGTAGGCTTCTTTGCAGAGGCGTTTTTTGGTGGTTCACTCAACAAGGAAAGGGCAGGCCATCCTTCGGTCCGCGTTGAAGATATGGCTGGTGACGCGAAATCCGTTCTCCGCTTCTGGCACGAAGAAATGAAGCCGTGGGAATGCTGCCAGAAGGTTTGTCGGTGGTGCGAAACGGGTGGAAGGGATTTCAAAGTCCTGATCGATTTGTGACGTGTTGTCCGTTCAGGACGGAGCACAGATTTCCATGGAAGCAGCCCCTATTACTTCAAGTGGATGAATTCATGGGCAGTGGATCCCAATTACCATAGCAGGTCGAAGCCAGGTGCATGGATCCACAGGGATGGATTGACACTAGGTGTATGCCCGGCACCCTGCTTCAGTGGCACCCACTAAACCACCCTGGTGGCTTCTTCACTAAACATGGAACCCCCCCAAAAAGAAAAATCGCCGGACGCCCCTCGGTTCCGCGATTTCAGCCCCCCCCCCCACGCAAAACTCTGCCCTCAGAACAACAGACCTATTTTTTGTGCAGCCACGGCTTTTTCCTCTGAAACCCGAGCCCCGGGTCCACTAACACAAGAACAATGGTTGGGTCAATACATGACCTACCATTCTTTGCCCCAAAAAACCAAAGCCAAGAAACAAGACCAACCTCCCCCACCAGCATTACCCCTATCCCCCAAACCAGTCTTTTCCCCCAAAAGCCCAAAACCGGTTTGGGGTCTCTTGCGCGCGCCTCGTGTTTTTCCTTTGGCGCCCGCGTCTTTGCCGCGTCCAAGCGCCGAGTTCGGCGGCGCAGGCGGAGGGATGTCCCGGCACTCCCTGCGCGGAGTCGCGGATGTGCACGCACGAGCTGCAGTTCGTGCCCGGAAACCCAGAGGTCCGAGCGAGCGAGTTGTCTTTTGCATTGAAGGGGTTTCTCTTCTTCCCTGGCTTTCGAGGCTGTGTTCTTTTTTCCCCCCTGGGTTTTGAAGGGTTGGTTTTTTCTCCTCTGGTTTTTAAGGTGTTTTTCTCGTGGGTTTGAAAGGGTTTTTGGTTTCCCCGGGATTTTACAGGCTTTGTTGTTTTTTCGCCCTGGTTTTGAAGGTTCCCCCCCCTTGCTGGGTTGAAAGGGTTGGTTTTTCCTGGGTTTAAAGGGTGTTTTTTCGCCCTGGGTTTTTAAAGGGTTTGTTTTTTCGCCCTGGGTTTTTAAACGGATTGTTTTTCCCCTGGGTTTTTAAAGGGCTTGGTTTTTCCCCTGGGTTTTTAAAGGGTTTGTTTTCTTCCCCTGGTCTTAAGGGTTCCCCCCCCCCTTGTTGTAAAGTTTTTTGTTCCGCTGGGTTTCAGAGGGTTGGTTTCCCCTGGTTTTAAAGGGTGTTTGTTTCCGGGTTGGTTTTTTCCTGGTTTTAGAAGGTTTTGTTTTCCCTTTTAAGGGGAAATCGATTTCACCACTGGCTTCCATTTGCTTAAGTATTCTTTAAACTTCCCTGAAACTGAAAGGGGCTTTGAGGCGGGGAGAGAGGTCCAGGGATCGAGTTCCTTCCATGGAAACGGGCTGAAACCTGCGGCCCATGTCCTGGTGGTCAAAATGTTTGACTCATCCCGGAATAGTTGTTTTTCCACTGATGGTTTTCAAATGAATCGATTCTTTGGTTGCTGGACATATTTGCTTGTTTTGTTTTTCCAGGGTACGAAAACGCGTCCTTTTGATTTTCGGTTTTGGCGTTGTTCAGATTTTTTGGGCCCTGTTGGTTATCCCCCGACCCATGTAACAGGAACCCCAGATTTGGATGTTCGATTCGCCAAGTTTGTAAGTGGCCACTTGGGGTGTAACCCCCCAAACATATTTGGTCAAACCCCACATTCACGGGGGACATATAAGTGGGTTGCAACCGAACGGTTACCAACTTACGAACTTGGCTTATCGAACACCCAGAGGTCGGGCTGAAGGAGGGGGGGTCCAAAGGCGTACACATGGTACCCCTGACCCATTTAATGGAAACCCCAGCTGAAAATCAACGCAAGCTTGTTAATCGGGTGTGTCCCTTTTAGTGACATCACTATTGCAGGGCAACACCCCAGAAGTCCCTATCAATAGGACAGGTCAACATTACCCCCGACCCAGTCGCATTTGTCTAGGGTATGAGAATCCCTAGCGGAGTTGATTCGCTGAAAAATGAGACATTCCGATCGAATCTGCCATGTGCTGGCATAAATGTTCAACAAGCACCCCCAAGAAAAGAGGTATATGATACCAAGCCCTGCCTCTTATATCAGGTATTTCCGTGGAAAACCGGGCCTCTCCCCCCCCCAAAAAGAAAGGAAACAAAAACACAAACAAATAAAACAAGAACACCAAGAAAAACAAGAAGCAGTGAGTATTAGGATCAGGTGGTATGATGAGCTGGGACTTTCGAAGGTCGCCTCGGCGCTCGCACGCCCATTCAAGTTGCCATGTGTCGTGTGCCTTTCGATCAGCACAATTTCTCAAGAAGAAAGTGAATTCACCCCACAATGATGGTGCAAACACATATCTGTATTGGTAGTTTGAGGGTCCAGGTACCTCAAGACTTCCTTCAAGCAACAAAGAAAAGGGCTCACCTCAAACTTTCGCCTTATGCTCGCCGGGGCTTGCCAAGCAATACACACGCGCACACGCACAGGCACACACACAAACGTTTGTCGGAAACGGCACGAGTCTTCGCCACGCCTTTCTTGGCCATTCACAACGTCACGCTGTGACATGTGGCACGCAGGTGCAAAACGGGAAACAGAGCCCATTCCAAACAGGCAAACATTGCAGAAACCAACTCCCCCCCAAACGTGGGCGGAACAGTTTTGAAAAAAGGACGCCCAAAACATGCTGGTTCTCAGCAGGGAATGAGTTGGAATGACCTCTATAAACCATCCCCAATGGTTTCCTTTAAGGGAATCCTCTTCCGGCTCAGTCCCAACACCCAGAAGGTCATTCCCTACCTACTGTGGATGGACGAAATCCTGCACCACATAGGAAACAATTGTTGGTATTTATAGGAAAACATCAGAAACCAGGTTTTCTGAACGGTGGTGTCTGAGAGGATATCGCAGCCATCCACAGTATCGCACCAGCAAGAAACATGGGTCCGTTTTTTTTGAGCCCCCGTCCCCCCCATGTTTGTAGTTTTAAAGGGAATCCAAGAGCAAACCAACCCATGTTTGGGGGTCTAAAAAAAGACAGACCCGAATGGGGTTCCCTTGAAACATGGGGTTCCCTTCATTACCTCTGTTGCCCAGTGCCGACCTTTTTCAACTTTTTTTGGGGGAAGGGCTCCGATTCCTTGAAAGTCAACCGACAAAAAAAGGGATGCCGCCAATTTTTCCCCGTGGAACTCCACTGGGCATCTGAGGCAGTTTCCCAATTTCTGTGATACAAGGGAATCCCCTCTTATGGGGGGGTGCAACGTCTTTGGGAGGCCCTTTCTGTTCTATCATCACAGACGTGGATTCCATTTCCCACAGCCCTTTAGAACCACCCTGCAAGTGGAACTCCAAAAGCAATCCGAGGCCCGTTGAGGATGAGGTGAGGCTCCACGACTGCTTCGGCGCCGGAGACTCAAGCGGAGGGCTCGGGGTGCGTTCTTGTGAGAGCCAAAACCCCCACAACGGGCCAGTGTGTCTTGAATCTCAGTTCAAAGACTTGGATGCGTCTTAACTATGCAACAGTTCGCATGGATCTGGGGGTTGATTCCTTGTCTATTCTTTTCAACCATCGTTCTTTCCAAAAACCGGATCCGTTTTGCCCGGGTTTTCGGAGGTTTTCTAGAAAGATCCGGATCCCTGGGTTCAGAATGGAAATGGAAGGTACCCCTAGAACGGATGTGTCTTACTATGGATATATGTCCCCAAAAAGTTCCTGGACTTTCTAAGTCTGGGGCCCCCTTTTTTGGGTTGCATGTGTTTGTGTGACTAATTTTCGCCTGAGTTCTGTTTCGTAGGTGAAGTATGGGAAGACCAGTTTGGCGGCAAAGGAAAAGACTTTGTACTTTTGGGAAGGCCAACCAGTTTGCAAGCAAACACAAACTTGGGACTTTTCCTTTGGCAGAAAAGGGGTACCTGCATCCCGCATCTTTCTGTGTTTGTGTTCTTTGAGGGTACCCTTGTTGGGGTTGATTTTGAGGGACAGCAAAGGAATAGGGGAGGTCAAGTCAAGGGTTTGTGATCAGCCCTATTACCTGATGATATTGAGATTGCATGGGGTGTCCTCCTCATATTTGTTTTTGGGTGTCTATCAAAATTAGGGAGCCCATCCAGGCGGTCGGTGTCCTGTTGGTTTCCATTTAAAACCATAGCCAAGGGGATCCCCTTTTTGGGAGAGACCCATCCGCTGAGTCCGCAGCGTGCCCAACCAACCATCATACCCATGTGGCTGTGGGTCAAAAATGCGTACCCAAAATGGAACCCTGGTAAATGGAACCAAAGACTAAAACCTGCGGTGCCCTGGTGGTTTTATTTTGACCCATACCTATGGTTGTGGATTTGCATACACTGGGCCATGAGCGCCCAGGCGGATTTGTCTATGTGGTTTCCGGTCAAAAACATCCCACCAAGGCTATCCTCAACAAATGCCAAGCCCATGTTTCACCAAATTTCTGCGGTCTCCGCATATTTGATTCTAAGTAGAAGAGATTTGAGCCAGAGTCAGAAAGGATGTTGATTTTCCGTGTGCCCTTTCTTGTTGGGCCAATGGGTTTGAGGCGCTGCTTAAATGAGAACCGGGCACGATTTCTTGACAACCCCCCTGCACCCCCTCCCTCACCCTAGGTAAGTTGAGCGTTCAGCGTCCAGTACTCCATGTTTCATTTGGGAGGAGAAGGGCGAGCCATAAATGTCCTGCCATGGACCCGTTGCAGTGAGGTGAATTAAGCAGTGAAGGAGCTGCGGCGCACGTGCGGCGTTCGTGCGGCCGGCTATCTCCAAAACATTTCGGGGACCCCAACTCAGTTTGGGTGATTCGCTTGCTTTGTGGTTTTCCCGAACCCGCCCCCAAAAGGCGGCCCCAGAATCCCCAAAAGGACACACCCACGGTTCGCCGGGTTGCCTCGTCCGCCGCCAATTTTTCGGGGGGCTGACTCGTCCAAAACGCCCGCCCAGGAAAGCAGCAAGCGGAGGGATCCAAGCTCAAGGACCACCGTGTGCCCCATCGTTGAAGGCGCCAAGCGGCCGCCGAACTCGCCCGGGGGAGAAAGACGCGTGACGCGAAGTTTTTCCTCAAGGGAGGTGAGCTCAATCGGGGGGAAACCGAGCTCAAGTTGATGTACATGAAGGTCCTTTATCTTGGGATTTAATCCTTGTTTCATGTAAAAGATGTTGGTTTTTAGTTGCCGTACGCGACTAACTCTGTTAAATGCCCCCTGCGTAGCCAGGGCTTGTTCTTCTCCTCGCAGCCGGGACGGTTTTGGAATTCGTGCAACAATTGTTTTGGTCCCCTGGGCCTTGGGCCATTCAACTCTGCTACATGTCCCCTAAGTGGGATAGAACGACCACTTACCCTCGCAAGGATCCGCGCCGGAGCTTCCGGTTTGGTTCTGCGCCTTGTTGCTGGATTCCGCCTCTTCTCCTCTTAGCTCGGTTATTGTTGGGAAGCATTTGTTTCATTTCTTTTGCTTATTGTGGTTGAGTGGTTGAGATCCCCACTCAACTGCTAACATTTATTTTTGTTTGCCCCCCTTTCAACGTCAACCAAGTTAGGGAAGCCATGGAACAGAGCGGCCTCGGCCCTTGGACAATCAGATCTAGGTCCCCCAGCTAGGTGCCCTTGTACCAACTCCTTTGGTTGGGAGATTCGGTTCCCCTACTAAAATAGACTGCAGGCAAAAGTTGGTACCATTTTTTGTAACCTCTCTACTGGAGGACCTAGACAAGTAGGTGCAACTCCCAAAGTGTTTTGATCCTGATTCCCTAACTTGGACATCCCACCAGGGGTGTAGTTAATCCTGGGTTCTCACAAGCTGTCCAATTTTCAAGCTTGAAGCTTTGTGTTGCCAAGTGTCCAGATCATTTTAGCGGTAAGGCCAACCATGTTCAGCTCCACTTGGGCAGGTCAGGGGTCAGGTGGCCCTCGCGTAGCTCGATTCCTCGTTGGCCGTGAACGATGATTTGTGTGTTCGGCGATGGAGCAGTTAGAGCAGTTGTTTGTTTTGGCTAGAAGCTAAAAAAGCCAAATGTGAGAGCTAAAAGCTCTAGAAATTTTGTTTTGTTTTCGGCTGCCGGATTCCGCGGGAGTCTGCCGCAAGGGGGCAGATGAGGTCGGTCGTACGCAGACGATGTGCAGCCGGGGTTGGCGCTGGTCATTTCCCCAAAAAGTAAAACAACCGGGGCTGCTACTGTGGATGGACGAAATCCATTTCGCACCGCCTGAGAACCCTGGAATGATCCGATTCCCAACGCAAATACCAACAAAACGGTACGGTGTCAACCACGGTTTCATTTCGTGGTGCGAAATGGATTTCGCAACCATCCACAGTAGGTGTTCTTTTGATCGCTTACTTTGGTTAGACATATAGATTAGACGGTTTTATGCCTCATTGACCAGGGAGACCCATCTTTTTTACCAACCGGGGCTGCTATCTCGCCAGCGCCTGAGAGAGGCCAGCACTTGAGTCGACAGTCTAGCCTGTCAACCCAGTTATATATATATTTTTGAATATACACACACTGGGTGTATATATATATATATGACTATATATATATACATACACAGCGCAATTTTGGTTTGTATAAAAACCCTTCCATGTTTTACTGAGTTGATTCAGGGTATGTTTGGTGCAGTTGGAGCGCTCTTTGGGCTTGCTTTCGGCTTGCTTTCGGCTGCGACCGTGTGAATGCCGGATCGAGCTGGCCAGGCGATGATGATTTCGAGGAGAGGGGGAGAGTCGCTCAACGTGAGGGGGGGCCTCATTGGGGAAGCAAGTAATTAAGTATAGGTGTAAACGCTTCGCGTTGCCCGCCTCGGCCGTGGGGTCTTGAGCAATGTGGCGGAACCAACCAAAACAGCGAGAGAAGAAGGTGTCCCACCAACAAGTTCTTCGCATCCACGACTCAAACAACAAGTACACAAACAGAGATGCCTAGAGTCTCGATGATCCCTAAAAAATGGGGCCATAAGCCCTCAATTTTGGGTAATGACCCCATTTTTAAAGGTCATGGACACTCTAGGTGCCCCCTTTTTTTCCGGTGGAAATCCACTCGGCATCTGAGAAAAGTTCGTTAGAAGGGTGGATCTGACCAGCTTCTAGGGGGGAATTGAGGTTTTGGTTGGACTCGATGTCGAGTAGGTCCTTCTGTTAGTTTCTTGCAAGGGGGTTTCACTGGGCTGAATTGCTGACATTATGTTCCCATGGTTTTGGCTTATTTGGGTTTCATGGTACTACAACCCCCCTTTCTAAGTAATTACTTAGCCCCTTATCTTACCCTCCGACCAATCAACATGGAACCTGACGTTCAGGACTCGGTCCCTTTAGAAGGCAAACGCAGGAGCCCGAGGGATCTCAGCCAAGCGCAGGAGGACGCCGAGAAGATTAGCCTCTCGATTGTCAGGGCCTCATGGGAAATCGCGGGAACCGGGCTGGTTGCAAAGGGATGCCAAAAGGGACGCCCGTGGCGCACGCCCGGCCCAAAAATGCCAAAAAACAGCACCCATGTGGTTCCCAGGTCCTGGCCCCGGAGCGAAATCAACCCAACAAAAAAGAGGCCCACACCTATGACACAATCAAAACCCGGGGATGGATGAAGTTTAGTAAGGGACAGTCCTAACCATAAACATATGCGGCCGCCTTGATTCATGGTTCTGGGCAGGCCGTTTTGATACCAGGTTTTGATCGCGACTCATTTCACCTTGGTGGAAAAGGGAACGGGTCACCCCGATTTTGACCACGAAATGAATCCTTGGTTGAAAGAAACCAAAACGTTTGCTACGATATGTTCGGGGGAATCGAATCAGACACCAGCGTTTCCGAACGGTGGTGCGAAATGGATTTCGGCCATCCACAGTATCACGGTGTTAAACGCGTGAGGTACCATACCAGTACCTTGGAGACCTTCTGCTCCGAAACCGAAGTAAAAGACGCCTGACGAATGTTCTGCCGTTTTTTACACCGTGATCTTGGAAAGGTGGCCCGCCCATATCTATCAAAATAGGTATAGTCCCAAATCCACTTGCCTTTCTTGTCCTGTGCTGAAACGTTGGCTTTCTGCGGGTTCTATTGGTGCAGATTGGTCCAAATTTCATAGAATCAGGATGCGGATCTACAGGCATCGAGTTTGCGAACCTCGAGATAGCCTCAACCAGCATTGCCTGTTGCTGAGAAAGTTGCTATTGCGTTAGAGCTTAATGTGTGTTTGCTTAAGTGTTTTTTGTTAATTTTCCCTTGTTGGTTTTAAAGGGATGGGGGAGCCATACTTGTTTGCTCTTCAGCCTACTTGTTATGTGTTTAGCAGGCCTGGCAATTGCCCTTCACCCTCCCACGAATTATGACACGTTGCCTGACAGGGGGACTCCCGAACGACAGATTCCACATTACCCCGGTTTTTGAGTCCTCTGGGAGGGTTTTATTTGGCGCCACGTGCGTTCAATCGATCGCCTCGTGCGTTCGTCCAGGTGGAGGGAGATGGCAGGGGGACCGGCCTGGGGAGTTTTTTCGTTCGCCGGGTCACGTGGAAAAACTTGGGATGTCCCCGGTTCAGCGGCCCCAAGAAAGAACCCTACTGGGGATGGTTGCGAAATCCATTTCGCAGCACTTTGAAACCATGCCACCATAAGTGTTTTTTTTCTGGTATTTACCAGGGGGAACATCATAAACCAGAATTTTCTAGGTGGTGCAACATGGATTTCGTCCAAGGATTCAAATGTTCAGGGTGTCTTAAGTGGCGAAATGGATGTCGTAACCATCCACAGTAGGGAGGTGCATTTTTGAGCTCGAGTACCTTCAGGCGGTCCCTTCGACAACGCATTTCGACAAACAAGACAACTAGGTCCCCCAGCAATTGGTGCCCTTTGACCAGCTTTTTTGGTTGGGAGATTCGGTTCCCTACTAAAATAGACAGACAAAAGTTGGTACCCTTATTCTAACCCCTCTGGAGGGCCGAACTCGGGGGTCGAACTCGGGGGAGGCTCCCTGGAGAGTTCCCTCTAAGACAAGTGACTAACATAGGCTACAGAAGCAAAGTTGGTACCAGCTTATTCCAACCTCTCTACTGACTTGTTTGTTTTTGGGGCCTTCTCCTTCTTTCCCCCTCCCCCCAATAAATCGCTGCGTCGAACAGAAACTGTGCGCTATCGCAAATGACAAAAGGACCTAGATCCCATTCTTGTTCTGAGAACTTCGGAGTTAATGAGAACCCCACTGCTTGAGTTGGATCGGTTTGCTGCATTTGCCGAAGAAGATGTGGTGATTTTCCCTGGTGTGAAAAGGGAACCTATCACTACTGGAAATATGCCACAGTTTTTTCCAGGGGGCTAAAGCAAACGACAAATGGAAGGTTTGGAGAGGAGGAGAGCCGTTTTTTGCCAGGTCCACTATCCGACTGAGGCCTTTGCCTTTGGACCAGATGGATCCCAGTTGCAAGGCCCTAATCCAGGCATCAACGGTCTTCCAGTTTCCTCGGTATTTTAAGCGTTCATTTGGCCGTGGGTCAACATTCAATGGTACCAATTTGGGGTAGGTGCACCACCCATTTTAGTCTATTTTAGTCGGGATTGGGATGTTCACTGGGGGATTTGGGTACCAAACTTACCTTGCGTTAAAAAACACACACACACACACACACACACACACACACACACACACACACACACACACACACACACACACACACACACACACACACACACACACACACACACACACACACACACACACACACACACACACACACACACACACACACACA